GAGATAGGAGTCTCACAGACTTTCCTGCCCAGGCTGGCTTTGAATCATGATGCTCAGATCTCAGCCTCCTGAGTAGCTAGGCTGGCAGGCATCAGGCATCGTTGCCTGGGGCTTTCTCTTCCTTCTTGCCCCTCATCCTGCCCTACTTCCAAGCCCCCCCCGTCCCTTCCAGGCCCCCCGGGCTCTCTTCCTTCTTGCCCCCTGTCCCTCCCAGGCCCCCCGGCGCTGCCTCTTCTGTCCTCCGTTCCAACTCTGCCCTGTTCTCACCAGATTGGCTACCGCACCCGGACGGCTGCTGAAGGACGTTGCCCAGCCTGGCCTCACCCTCCTGAACCCTCAGCATGAATAAATACCCTGTGCCTAGGACCCCGAGTGTGACACTAACTTTGGGGTGGCCGAGAGGCCATCACCGAGGGTCGCCGAGGGTCCGGAGGGCCTTGACGGCTCCTCCCCTGAGCACCCCATGCTGGTGCCCCCCCCCCCCCCACTGTGTGAGCTCAAACCGCCTGACCCTGCAGAGCTCAGGGCTGACGCCGCAGAATGCAGCAGCATGCCAGGGCTTGGCAGGCCGGAGAGGCCGGGCCCCAGAGGTGGAGGGCCCCCAGGCTGGCATGGGGGGTGGGGCCTGGCTTCCTCCCATGGAGTGTGGGGTTCACGGGCTCCCCCCGCCAGGCTCCAGGAGCATAGGGAAGCTGTTCAGAAGTAGCCTTACAGAGTCAGGTGCTACACAGCATGAGCTCAGATGCCATGCCCAGCCCAGCTGTGTGCTGGGCGTCTGCACTGCCCCCGCCGGCCCACTGCCGCAGCCCGCTGCTCGGCCCTCCCAAGTCTGTCTTACTGTAGCCCTACCATGCGCCAGGCCAGAGAGGCCACTGGTGGTCCAGAGCCGGCCATGGAGGGGATGCTGCAGTAGCAGACCACGCTCAAGCAGACAGCACAAAGCAGTCCAGCTGGGTCTCGGGGGAGAGTCCTCTACAGGTAGACCCTCCCTTCCCGGGTGGCACTTCCTCAAGGAGACACATGCAGATTCTAGAATGGTGAAAGTCTCCCCAGGGAGATCATGCCGACACGGGTCCCACACACAGGAAAAGGAGTTTAATGTCAGGAAACCGACAGGCACCTCGCGGGCTGGGAGAGTTTTGCAGGGCTGGATGCATGTGGGTCTGAAAGTGGGAATTCCACTCTGGCGGAGCTAAGGCTTATGGTCGTAGCTGCACAAACAGGAGCTACTGTAGTGGGGGGCTGCCTGTCGTTAGCAGTTGCAGCTGCCTGCTTTGAAAAGGGCTGTCAGCTAATTTCAGGGATGCGCCTGTGTCACCTGATTTCAGGGAAAGGCCATCCTTTACCACAAGGCCTAAGATGGCAGAGTGGCTCCTAAGATGGTGGAGGTTAGGCTGACATTCCTCCCTTTTCTGTTTATTTTTGGCGGGAATACCATGTTAGGGTGTATGGACAAAGGTCTGTCTTCTGTAACTGCTTCCTTCTGTGGGGAAGTTTGTAGACATCTGGAAATGTAAAATTAGAAGTTTGCTCTTTCTGTGGGGAAGTTTGTAGACATCTGGAAATGTAAAATTAGAAGTTTTGGGGCTGGGAAGGTGGCTCAGTGGTAGAGCACTTGCCTTGCATGCTCTAGGCCCTGGGTTCAATTCCTCA